TCGATTTTCAACATGTTCTGTGCCACCCAGGCCACCTATGTTGAAAGCATGTGTTCGATTATGCAAATAGTCACTCGTATTTTAATGTATCGTGAAAAACGCGCGAAACACTGCGCACTCGACACTGCAAAAAGATCAATGTACATTAGTTAAGTTTCATTTGATTAATGGATTCCTGGATTTCAAACAAATCAAATACCTCCAAATTCTATCGAATCCTTTACTAAAGACAATTTTAGACAAAAATCTGCTATGTACGTACAAAAACTATCGTTTAATCTCTAATCACTTCAACGTGCTACTGAAAATCTCCAATTCCAGGAGACACAGAACGTGTTAACGTTTCTATTATATCTGTTAGCAGTTTACGATTAATCTTCTCGTTTCTTCTCCCATTTAGAATCTCGTTCCTATTGTGTTCAAAGCTTCTTTTTCTACATGTAAAAATACACTTATATATGCACCGCAATAAACTCTCGATTATACAACTTCAGAGCGTACCATTCCACATATGTAAACATGCTTAGGTTTCATGAACGCATGTTCTATGTTACGCACAGTGACTCGAATTTTTCTATCGAGAGACATCTTAATTGTTATTCAAACAAATAAATTGCATTTTTTTTGTTACTAAAAATTTGAACCAATATCGCGTAAGTATTACTGTTTACATTAAGGTATTATATAAGATCTCTTAATCATGCTCGAAACGTGATCTTGTTACTTAACAACCTACAGATAACAGTGTTATACATAATTCAGAACTTTTTATCGTTTTTGGGAATTCGCGAGTCACTGCGTATAACGCGTACACTTACATGCTCTACACTTATGAGCATGCGACAATGAAGCTCGAGGCAAATCTATAATGACAGAGATGACAGTTTTAATCGACTATTCCCTAGCCCTCGTAGCCATTGTTCTCCATTAGAAACATGCAACGATCGTTTGTAACGTTGAATGCTCGTCGGCCGTTGCAAAAATTGTTACGTCACTCTATGCAAGTATATACATCAGTATTCGATTAATTGATCCATAGAAAAATTTACACTGAATAAAAGTTTCATTCTTTCCCCCTTTAGGAGCAGGGCCGTGCTCGTCAACGGGCGAGTGTGCACGAGGGACGGCCATTTTTGGTCTGTTTTAGTGTTGTTCCGCTTGGAAAATTCCCTTCAACGCTTCATCCACGTTGAATCTCACATTGACACAACATTAAGCCGACCAATGCGAATACACCTTTGATAGCGTTTCAAACGTGATCGAGATATTATTGAAAAGATCCATGGAATACATTCCGATTATCGCTTAATCTTTGTTTACTTCTAGATTATCGCGCGCGTCCCGTAACAAACGCGATAAACACTTGGAATGAAACCTTACAGGCGACTTACCCTACTTAGAAAAAAGTGTAAAATTTGTCCGTGTTTCATTCCATGTATATGATTACGTTTACGTGTGTTTATCGTATAAATCGGATTCGCGTGTCCGCGTGTGTCGCATTAAAAGGGCAAATAAAGGAAGAGTACAGTATTTTTTGGGAAATTATTAAAGAAAAATAAAAGAGCTGTTTCAGACGTCAATTTCGAATTGTGCGCTAACGCGTCGACGTTTATTGCACGTAAATTTTGCGTGACGTATTATTTCCATGCAAAAGAAAATTCTGACACAAAGTTAGGACAATATTGCGTCGTGAAGAGCAGAGTACAAGTTTGAATGAGTGTATCAAATACTTCGTTCTCGAATAAAGTCGAAGAACTGCGGTGTCCACGTTACAATACCCTTTACGTTTGTGTCCGTGTCACAGATGTGTCTCAATTTTGACGTACGCGCAGTTCAATGTAAACGTTTTGCACGTGTCGTCGAACCGACGTGAATAATCAGCGTATACCGCGCCCCGTGATCGTCGAATTGGCACTGCTCGCTACATGATAGTTTCGTCAATCGGTCGGCGATTACAAAACGAAAGGAAACCTATGAAACTAGAGGTCGACTTTGATCATCGAACATAAATGTTCACATCTTAACAACGAATATACGTATACATCGGCGTATATATGTGTATATATTAACATTAACGTTACAATATATTACCTGCGCTATCGTCGATCCGCCTATCGTTCGATTAATATAAATACAACAAGTTAACTCTACCGGGGTTATGCAGAAAGGTGTACGAAACGGAGAATGGAAAACAATTATGTATCGCGAAAAAAGAGAAACTCATCCTCCCCGGTTCTAACCCCGACGAAACTCTCGGCAACGTTCGAGCAACGAACCGAAGCGCGTACGAGCTCTATGAAAACAAAATTTTCAGAAAATCAATTTCGATCGGACCGTTACAATAAATACAAACCAAAGGAAAATACGGTGCGTTAATTCTTATTCGCTAACACTGTTTGTTATCCGCTCGTTTTCCCAGCTTCGCGAATAAACTACAAAAGACAAAAAGAAAGAAAAAAGAAACAGAAAAACGATCTCGGAAACGTTGTCTACGGTACGCGTGTACCGAACGTATTCCGTTCATTTGAGCGACTCGAACCTACAAACTATTAGCTAAGTACTAGAGCTTCCGGCGAACGCGTTCGCCGGAAGTGGGCCTGTCGCTTCGTAAGACAAAGCAATACGATTACGGGCATCAATCGGCGAGTGGCAGCAGAACGCAAGAGTAAAAAAGGGAAAAGAGAGAAGAACACAGAATTTATTACAGGGAGACTTTCAGCGACGTCGCGTGAACAAAATTCGTCCGCGGACGACTCCCGGCGAGCATCCTCGGTTTTAAAGCTATTCAAGTGATTACCGGAGGTACATCGAACGTTTGGACAGTCGACAAAAATTTTGATTCGGTTCCAAGAAAGATCAGTCCCTTCCGTCGGCTCTTATCCCTACCGGATAAAGCGAAATTGCTCGGTCTGCTTCTTGCCGCCGTCACGGGTCCCCGGAAGTGAGTGGCTCTCGCTCGTCACAGATCAAAGAAGAACCCGTTCGCAACTTGCACTCCGTTTACCTCCTCAACGTGTGCGATTCCCCGCGATACCTGCGCTCGGATAGAATTTACGCGACGTTAGCTACCCACCCAAAGAGATTCCCTTTTCGTTCCTCTTCCGGCCCGTTCCTCCTTCTCGCTTACTTGCTCTTACTCTACGAGTATATTAGAATATGTGCACACTTCAGGTGTGCACAGCCGATATGGTGAGAACGGACGTGACCGCGTCACCTAGGACTCGAGGGTGGTCGTAGGAGGATTCGTCGACGGCGTGTACGACATTTCCATGGTGATGCCAGCGCTGCTTCGACGGAACCTCGACGGGATCTCGGTGCTGTTGCGCGGCTTACGTCTGCTCAGATGCCTCTCCACCCACTTCAGCATGGTCAGCACCGAATCTGTGCTCGGCAGACGTCGCTCTGCTGAGGTGCGTATTATGTGCGACGATGCCACCCGGAACGTGGCCGCCATACCCTTCAACGCCTGTGGAATACGCGATGGTTCTATGTTATAGGTAGAGCTCGTGATAGGTCGCACGCTAGATGTCCGATACTCCCATGAAGTTATCACGAAAATGTTCGTTAATTGATAAAGCAGGTAGCACGCTAGGTGTCCGATTTTAATCCTCTCATGGATTTATTTTAAAAATGTTTATTAACCGACAGAACGGGATCTACCTGTAGTCCTGTCTAGACGGAGATTCCTCTGACTATTGAACTTTTAAAGAAAATTTATATATATATTCGTTTCGCTAACTCTGCAGTCTATCTCAAGTGAGTTTATATATGTTGGGAAAAGATCATGAATGATCCTGGACGAGCTAGAATAGCTAAACGAAAATATAATATATTTTGTTTAAAAAATCAAACTTGCATCTGTCGTAAGGCGTTACTACGTTTGTAATTCGAATGCTGGTGCTGTGGACCAAAGACTGTTAAATCCTCCTTCGGTGATGTGATCGTGTGAATGAAAGCAATCAAGTTTGTCCGAGCAATTTGAGAACATCACATGGAATTCGTACCCTCATTGCGTCTTCGTCTGTCACGTCGTCACCAGCATAGATAATCCTGATTCGCTCGCTCCAATCCAAACCGAAGGCTGTGCGCAGGATATAGATGGATGCGTGACCCTTATTCCACTCAACCGGCGGCTTCGCTTCGATAGCACAGTGCGCGGAGCAGGCCTTGAAACCGGAATCCTGGATGATCTTCTTCGCCTGCTCGATCATCTCTGGACGACGTTCCATCGGCGTCTCACGATAATGGAACGTCAACAACGCGCCCTTGTTTTCTACCCAGGCGCCATCCCTGCATAGCTGTGCTCCATAAAGATCATTCGTAAATCAATACGACGAAGCCGCTTATAAAGAGAAAAAAAAATAGAGTACCCACCTGCTCCTGCAATGTTTGCATCAAGTTCGCCACTTTGCCCTCAAGTTCACCGGGCATCGGATGAACGAACTTGCTACCGTCCGGGTGCAGAATCTCCAGGCCATGGTTACCAGCATACGTGATACCTTCTATGCCGACCATCGACTTAACGTTGACCACGTTCCTACCTGATATAATTGCTATGTACACGTCAGACATATTAGATAGCCTCTGCAAGACGTTCTTCGTCTCCAGAGGTAAAATCGCGAGGTCTGGATGCGTCGCGATAGGCGCTAGGGTACCATCGTAGTCCAGCAGCAGGGCCAACTTATGGTTCTCGCCGATATACCTAGGGGACATGTGTTATCACTGGAACGTTACCCGGCTTTCATCATGAGTCAGGTCGCATTCGCACGCGCGGGCCCGCCGTCTTCCAAAAGCGTTTCGCTTCAACAAGTTTCTCCTCCAGCCGCGTCGGTCAGGACACGGACAAGAAGACCCAACAAAATTTTGTTCTTAAATCCCCGTCATTCACGTTACTCATTGGATACAGTTGGGAGCGTTGGGAATTTCTTGGGAAAATTTTTGGCGACAGGACATGGACTTCCAAGGGAGACAGAATACGTGCGAAAGTTAATTTAAAAAAAGGACCACGGTGTTAAACTCTCGGAGGACATGCCGGCCCTAAGAACTTGCAGCGTTGCCTATCATTGGTGACTGTGCTTCTGTACCAATCTCCTAATCAGGTGGAATGACTTCGAAAAATGAGCTTAAAGTTCAAATAACGGGTGCAACTTGAGACGGGCTCAAGCGAGAAAGCGATAACTTCGAACACGCAAATATGCGGCAAGTATCTTTCAGTATTTATCGCAGGGCGACGTGTATCCCATATGTCGAGCCCAAGGCTGCAGTATTCTGATGCGTAAAAACGACACCAAATCATCTTTGGGTTCTTGACTCTTGATACTAAACAGCGTTATCGTCATCAGAGTCTCCTCATCTGGAATTCTAAAATAATGAACTTTAAATCCATTTTCGAAGGCGATCCCAGTGGTTAGCGGATTAAATATAGTGTCATACGATCTATCCTAAACAGACCTTTCCGCGAATCGACAGAAATCGCTGCAGGCTCATAGGGTCAGCATGCCCCCCTACGAGTTAACATGGTCACTTGTCAAGCCAGAATTTTAGTCATCGAGACTATCGGAAGCACCATAGTATACAATTTATATTTTCCCACGCTGCGACGTACCCAAACTCATGCTTAATTTAATTAAATCAGTTGGATACTTAAATTGTACACATTTTTTTCTTTCTTTTTATATATATACGCATTCCATTTGAATTATTTCATTAAACAAAAATTATATATTTAGAAGCATCCCCAATATATAATGTGTATAAGCAAACTTTACTAAAGCCACCTGCACGTGGCTTCAATCAATACAGTTTGCTTGTAACATTAAAATGCGATTAATCATTGGACAAGGATATCTTAGTGTTAAATTGTTAACACCTTAAGAGTACTTAAATGTACATTATTGGTTCCCGTTTAAGCGTGTGCTCTGGTCGGGCCCAGTCATGCACATCAGATAACTCCAATGATACCTACTTGCTCAAATAATCATCGAAGTCGTCCATCGTCACCGGCTGCATCGTCGTTGCACCGACGGAGTCCCGTTCTTCCAACGAACCCATCACCTGCAGGAAACTCTTCATCCAGTAATTGACATCATAGATCCTCTCGCGACGCCTTAGATGATTCATTCTTAATGTGCGCTCATCTTCTGGCATGGTAAGTGCTCTGAAATCGATAATCGCAAGCGTACATTACTTAGACATTTAAAATTAATTAAGAAGAATTATTTTACTATTTTGAATTTTTGTAAGCGACTCTTTCAGTGCAAACCACTTGCAAAATCTTCTAGGATCATTATCAAAATTCACAAAATACCTGTGTATAACTTCTGCAGCTTCATCGATCTCATAAGGGTTGCAGATCAAGGCCTCGTGCATCATTTCACCAGCTCCAGCGAACGGAGAAACGATCAGCACACCGGGTGGTGTGTTGATCTGACACGCGACGAATTCCTTCGCTACCAAATTCATTCCATCCCTGAGGGGCGTGACGAGAGCGACAGCAGCATCCCTGTAGAAGGCTGCCAACTCGTTCTGACTCACGCAACCATAGATGTAGCGGATGGGCGACCAATTAGGTGTCGTGAAGCGACCGTTGATGCGTCCGATCAGTTGGTCCATCTCTAGCTTCAAATCCTGATACTCGCGCACGTCTGTTCGTGAAGGTACAGCGATCTGAAGCATGGTTACCTAGAAGGAAACATTCTCTGATCAGTTGATTGATTCTTTTGCAGTAAACCTTTAGTTATACAAGATGATCCAGAAGGAACTGATTTAATATGTGTAACAAGTGTAATTGTCTTTAATATCCAAGAATTCATACAATTCCAATTTCATCATCTTCTATAATTTCAACAACTCAGAGGTTGAAGTGACTAACTCCATTTGCTGAACTATATCAAACATTAGTGTCAAAATAACTTTAATTGATAATCTAATTGTCGTCTGTATCTAGGGCTTAATAAATTTAACGGATGAATGATTTCACTGATTACCTGTTCACGATGTTCTGGATGTTTCTCCAGCAGCATCTCGAAAGCTTTCAGCCTGTGAACCAGCCCCTTCGTGTAATCAAGACGATCAACGCCAAGTACAATCTTCTGATTGGTCAGCATGACTTTGTTCGCAGTCTCGGCCAGCGAAACGAATCTGTCGAAGGGAATACCGATTGGCAGAGGTCTGACACGCACGGTTCTGCCACCGTGCTCCACCAACAGGTTCTTGCGGTCGACTCGACAGCCGAGCCTTCTCTGGCAGCAGTCGACAAAGTTCAGACAGTAGTCCTGAATGTGAAAACCGACCATGTCGCAACCTAACATGCGATTGCATTTTCATCAAAATTGGGATCCTACTGTTGAACACAGATTAACGATTTCCGGTCGGATATTGATTGTCAATAGGCTGGCTGCAGTCAGACCGTCAATTACTTAAGGTCATTTGAAATCAATTCGTTCAAAATGGTTATTGAGATTATACGGCTGACCGTGCCCGTTAATGAGCTATCGGTGTTAATTAGTTGCATTTAGATCATAGATATCAACGTACGTAATTATAATTGATTTGCTTCATTAGCATTCGAACATTGATTAGTGGCCGACGCAAATAACAATTACGTTATAAATTCTAATTTAATCAAATTTCAAATTATTTTATAAATGAACTTTTATATTTATGCTCAAGTTACCATTGAACTCTCCTCACAAGTAACATTAAATTAAGAGAAGTATCATCTTCAATCTTTGATTAAACTTGAGCAATTGGTGCAACTTTGACAACAGCCACCATCGACTTCAATTCCGATCGCAAAAGTGTAAGTATGTCGTAACATAACTACGTTCGGATGTACTCATTACTTTTTATATTATAAGTGTCGTGAAAGAATAGTGCTAAATTTAAATTAACCAGGTGCTATTTCTATTTTTTAAAGTAAATTTGTATAGGTTTCTTTTAACATCCGAGGTCTTTAGCAATGTTTAACTTTACCGTGTAAAATTGCTCTTCGTTCGTCATAATTATATGCATTTGAGATAAAGTCATAATTAAATTCTTAGAGTTAGAACATGTTCATACCTACAGCCGAACGTACGCATGTTAGTACACAGTATATAGAGACAGACTAACCGAGCATTCCCTGAAGGATTTCATCAGCCCATGGGAACAATCTGAATATGTCCCATGGCGGGAAGGGGATGTGAAGGAAGAATCCCAACTTTAACCTGAGATTCTTCTCGTCGGCCGCCTGCCGGATCCAATTCGCGGCCAACATCAAATGATAGTCGTGCACCCAGACCAACGGCGTGCCGTTCGATTGATTTTCCTGCTCCTTGTGAATTTGCTCCAGCGCGCCGACCTGAATACGAAATCGGCCGTTTATTACGCACAAAAATTCGACGGCTCCAAACGTGGGAATTAAAAATCAATATCGTTCGATGAGGCTCACCGTTTTCGCGGCGAATTCCTCGTTGACGGTCGAGTAAGCTCGCCAATGGTCAGCGATGAAGGTGGCCCTGTCTGGCATCGAGTGGAATAACGGCCAAAATGTCCCATTGCAACAACCGTTGTAGTACGAGTCGAAGACTGACGGTTCGACGTGCACCGCGACTACCTGCATCACAAGAATTGCCGTTTGTTTAATCATGTTCTAACACTGGGCTATTGTTTACTTGAGTTCTAACCATCATTGTTGTTGTACGCTCAAAGTATTTATTTCTAAATTACTCATTTACCATTTTCGAGTTACTTATTTCAAATTACTTATTGATTATTTTTGAATTACTTATTTTTAAACTGCTTATTTATTATTTTTTAATTACTTGTTTATTAATACATTCGGGTGCAATTGCTATTGTCTACTTGAATTCTACCTGTAATGTTTAGTGATAATTAAAAGCTCAAAGGAAAACGAAAGGTGAAAAGTAATAGTAGAAATGGTACCTTAGGGTACCTAGAGAATACAAAGGTTAATGAAAGAATTGTCCTATAATTGCATCGAAACCATTTAGACATTTGCATGAGATAGAAAATAAATATCAATAAACCAATACTAACTAATTACGGCTGAATGATTCCATTAAATATTTAATTTTAGTTTTAAAAATATTCTCATACAAAGCACGGTCGATCATATATTTTTATTTCTTCCGTTTTATTTGTTAAAATACTAATCTGATTCATAACGCCACTTTATTTGCGCGATTCCGTGAATTTCTTTATTTGAAATGACCCAGATAAAGCAAAGGGACTGTTTGTCGTAATATATCGTTATGCGCTTCCGGGAATGGCGACGATTAACGTACGAAAGTGTCGGACGACCAACGCTAAGCGATACATCGACGCTGAGTTACCATTTGCCAAGTTATTTGCTACATTCGATCGATGCTCACCCGGTCGTTTGTAGCAATTGAACGAATCTCTACGACTTAAGACACGATAAAAATAGAAATCTAATCTGAACCGTGAATGCATTACGGTGCAGTGGAATGATAGCGAAAACCTAAATACGGTTACAGACGAAAAGAAAAAAATCCGGGACGGTTGTTGTTCGTAAAACGAATAGTTTCTATCGAAGGAGGAAAGCGTTCCAAGAGAAAAGCACGTTCCTTGAAAATTTATTATTGCAGCGAGATAAAATCGAATTTGTCTTCGTTACCATATTTACAAGGCATATTTCAAGACAATGATAATATTTAAAGAAACGAAATTGAAAAAACGGATGGCAAACGAGAAGATAAATCTGATCAACGACCACACAGTGAACGTATATTTTCCAAATAATGGAAACTGAAATAAATTACATAAACGTTTACCCCTTTCCTCGTGATTTTGAAAAACGAGCCTGCAACGCGATCACTTTAAACAGTAACGTGATACGTTGAGTAATTTAATTTAGTGATTAAAGTAATTCTTTATTATGGTACAAATGTATAAACTTATCATTTATCTCTTCTGAAAACTATAACTGAATTATTTTATAGAATTATATTTTATTATTTTACACAATTGAATGAGAAAAATAATTCCCGGTGACATTTAAATTCTCAATATAAAAGGAAATCAAAAATGTAAAATAAAATATTCTGATCCGAAGCTTGGTTTCGTGAAAATTCATTCGGAAAACGTATCCAATACCGTTACAACTCGACACAACATCGTCGCTCGTGTCACCGCGTTTATTGATTACTCCTCTCCTTCCCGATGTTTGTAAACATTAACAGCTGATGTCGTAACACCCAGGCGCAAACAGTTACTTGGGCAACGATAACAACGAGAGCTGATTTTCGAAAGTTAATCAACGAAAAAAAGCAACGGCCGATTTTTAAATCCGTATCCGCTGAACTAATCATAGTTCAATTGCGAATATTATCAGCGTTATGTCATTCTCCAAGTTCTGCAATAATTCGATACAAATTCTGAGCAGCACGACGATAGCGAGATCGATCGAACGGAAATAATGCTGTGCTGTTAGTCGATGTTCTACAGCAAGTAGAAGCAACGGGTAACAGTCAGACACGATTGCTAAATCGTATTCGGTATCACGCGCGTTCGACCATTTATCTCGAGTGTTTCTTTTTCCTCGGAAATGGAGCTCCGATCGAATAAAATTTATTTCATACACTTCGTACGATTTTATTGACTCAAGGATTCATTTTAGATCACTTGCCAACAGCTTAAACATAAATGGCATTTAATGTCAAATGAAATTGTATATCATTGGAAATAATTCTTCTATGTAAATGATACCTGGAATAAAATTTCAATTTATTGCTTGTTAGTTATATTTCGAAACTGAAATTTCAGATTTAAAATTTTAAACTTCACATTTAAAATTTCCCATGTCGCGAAACGTTTTGTTTCTTTCTCGACGAACGATACGTCAGAACCGCCACCCTCAATGGTTGTGTCTACGCGAGGAGACGTTAATAATTCTCTCATTAGCGATTAGTCGGCGCTTGCGTCAATCAGCGATCGAAGGAACGCTGTTTTCACGGGATCGCAAATCGAGAAGGCCGCATCGCGAGCAAACAAACCAAGCACGGAGGATAACGATTGATTAACAAAGGGGCGAAGGGGAATTGTCACAGTCCCGGCATTTATCGAATCATTTGTTGGTTAATTAATTGATCAAACAATTTTCTATTGTTTGGATTCTCATGCGAGGGCGGCGATCCTGACGTGGGATAATTAAAATGAAATATAATAGCTTGAAACAGCACACGACGATACTTATCTGGTTTTCCAAACATTCATTTATTACAATTATCATTATTAATAAATGATGGTAGTAACAATCAGGAACTATTTTGTTTTTTTATAAACATAGTATGTTATATACAGATTATCGGGGAAAAGATGTCAGTAAACAGAGTAATTAAAATAATCAATTAAAAGAATCAAGATAATCGTGATTAATAACTATCGAAGACTGTAAAGAAGTGGAATTAATTTTACAGTCTTATTTTATTATTGTACATTTTGTACATTTATAATTAACTTTGTACATCTTATCTATTAAAATCAGATATTAGATATTGAAACTACTAAGAACACTAATCGATTTGTTTAAATGTGTCTCCTTCCATTGAATAATGAATTCAGTTCACAAGACTAATGTTCTCTAGTAATACAATAAAGTGGTGAATGATGTATGAAAATATTTAGCAACTAGTGCACTTAGTAACTTTGATAAACAGTGCAACGCAAAAAGTATTATATCATGAACAATTATTTCCAATGCCATTTGTATTTACTAAAAAGGAATAATATTATACAAAACGCTCGAAAGTCTCCTAATAGTCAATGTATTAACGCATTCGAGACAAATTACACATTAGAAGCGTCACGGAGTACCAAAAAGAGCAATCACACAGCGTATATATAATGATAAAAAATGTCTATTAACAGTGATTGACGAACCGCCAATTACTTTATTGTACAGTTAGTAGTAAGAATTAAAAGTATGCAAAAATTAAAACTTGCATCAGTTCCAAGCTAAAATTTCAAAAAGAGTAATCTCCAACCAAGGTCAAGATCACAAAAAACAGAAGTAACCCTGAAAATGAAGATTTCAAGTCTTGGCCTTTAGAAACACTGAACCTACCTCAACCAGTCCGACAACTACTTTCCAAATGTTCTTTTAACTTTACATCAATTCCCTTACTACCCAATTAACACTAGAACTACCGTACCAGTCAAAATGACTGGTTTCAGTTTTTCTGTTTCGCAATTGTTGATATCTTCAAAGCATTGAATATTCGAAATGATTTTAAAAATAAATAGTTTCACTTGAATACTATAATGAATGTCTGAAGAAACCGAAAATAATCCATTACTACAATATTCATAGCGATTACATTTCAATTGTATCAAATTCTCGGTAGTTCTAGTGTTAATCAGTATCTCAATATTTGTCTTTCCTTTTCTCCTGTTTCCACCAAGAATGATTAACCGCCCAACTTGTTCACCTATATATTACAACCAATTTCTCGACTGGTAGTCCATATAATATAGATACATCCGTTCGAGCAATAAGCGAAAGGGTTAACGCGTTGAACACGACGCGAAAACTAGGTTGCCGTTGGCGTCCGGTTCACGTTCGAGAATCACGAGCGCAGAAAAACGAAAAGCGGGAATAGAGGGAACTCGCTCGCGGTCGTTTCGCAACGCGCGCAGGGGTCAGACGTTTCAGAATAAGATCACTCGTTTCGCCTACGTCGGAGACGGTAAACAATCCGGCGACGGTACACAGCGGAGCGTCAAAAAACGAACGGGACGAGGGAAAACATTTTAATTACCCGTTATCGCGGGCGCGAGCGAGCTTGACGAGCGTCGTACACCCGCGCCGCGTTACAATCGACCGATATACGGTTGAGACGGTCCTCGTTGCCTCCAGCTCCCTTTACCTCCCCCTTCTTTTATTCAAAACATGTTGTTAAACGTATCGGCGACGGTCGTAATCTAGCCGTTCTATCGTGACAGTCTTGTTTGCGAGATTCCACCCGAGCACCGCCCGTAATCAGCGAATTGTCTCGTCGGTCGTAATACTAATAATAATCTTTATTTTCGGCCTCGGCCTAAGAAAATGGACTTGGTTTTACAATTTTCTAATTTGCATTCGACTGCACGTTTCATTCATTCCTCTCTCTCTCTCTCTCTCTCTTCCTCTCGTACCTCTTACATTCTACATACAGTGACGTTCAAAAGTTCCCTGCCAGATCGTTTTTCGAATTGAATCCATGCCACATCGATGTGCCACTGTCATTAACCCTTTGCGTTCGCAGGAAAATTATAAAATGAAAAATTCAGGACAAAATATTTAATAAAGTATCAACACACGAAAGAGAAATAAAACAGTTCTACCCTGTAATTTATGCAAGATGTTCCTTTATGTAAGTGGAAAATAATATTGTTAATATATCGTCAGAAAATAATGTATATCTGTAATGAAAAATATTGTCGAGTGCAAGGCATTAATGCAAATGGCCACAAAATACTAACCATTCTATTGGCCTAACATCCTTTCTCCCACTTACCACGTCCTCAATTCTCATCCTTCTATCTGCTTCCCTACATTCTCTTATCAGGTGTTCCGAATTACCGTATTTATCC